TGGAAAAGTGAAGAAGAATAAAAAAGGGAGGGGGATAAGGAAGAGTAAGGGGAAACCTCCCGATTGCTGCTTCTTTTTGGCTTCAAAAGGCAGGTGGAGGCAGAAAGGGATTGTAGATATGGCAGGCATTGACCGTGGAGGGCTCCCAGGCCCTGTTACAACGCGCTTGTGTCCAGAGAGGCTGGAGCTCTGCAAACACCTCAGGGCTTCAGGTCCTGCAGACAAAGGAGCTGCCGACGTTCAGGCAGGGCCCTTGGAGCTGCGCTGCGGGACCGTGGGTGGCCAGAGCTGCCCGGGCTGTGGGCTCTCCCCAAAGGCAACTCAGCCCGGCTCTGCTGGGGCTGGGGCATGTCCCTGGCGCCGCTGACGGGGCCACGTGCGGGGCCAGGGAGCCCTGCAGCCCAGGCTGCTGCTTAAAAGGAAAACAGAGAGGCAGGTGTGGGATGCAGGATGGTTTTATTGAAGGAGCAGAAAAACTCCCAGTGGAGCAAGACACCTAAGGCAGAGGCAGGCAGGTTGTCCCTGCGGGCTTCAAGAGAGCTGTTCCTTCAGGCTTCTTGCAGGCGGTGGCTGTTGGAGGTCCCAGCAAGTGCCCGGTGGAATGATGGTGGAGTCGTGCATCTGGGCATGGGCAGGAGCAAGGAGGAGATACGGAAAAGGGAGCGAGGAGAAGGAACGTAGATAGGAGAGGAGGCGTGAGGCTGAGGGGTCCCAGGGGCTGTGGGGTCTGTGGGTCTGGGTCTAGCAGGGCCCACAGGTGTCCCAGAGCTTCTTGCTGTAGCGGGGCAGCGCGCAAGGGCTGCAGGCGGGAGAAGCGTAGGCTCTGCCAAAGGTGCAGAGGCCCCCCGAGCCCAGCGTGGCCCCGGCGCCGTAGAGGCCCCCCAGCCCCAGGGAGCCCCCAAAGGCGGGTGCTCCGGAGGAGCCCACCACGGCTTGCTGGGGGAAGGAGCTGAGGATGGGGCCGGGGAAGGTGACCACGACGGGGGGCGGCTGGATGAAGGCCGACGAGTCGGGGCACTGCCGGGCGCACAGCTCGTTGCAGCTCTCGGCGATGGGCTGGGGGACGGCGACGCCGGTTTTCGGTGGGCACAGGTCGTAGCAAGACATCTTTGTGTGAGAGAGCTGAGCCTGAAACACACGGTGCCAAGGAAAGAGAATAGGAGTGAGGAAGAGATCTCACGGTTCCCTGTTGCCCAGTTGCTCGGTGCCAGTCAGCTGGAGAGGCCACAGCCACTGCTTTGCCCTCACTGCCCACTGCTAATCCTTTACTCAGACAGCCCCACTCAGCGCCCTGCTCTCTGCACCCCGAGGACACAGAAAGCCTGCCCGAGAGCCTGTGCAGGGCCTGGCTCTGCGTGTCCCGGCCACGGGGCTCCTTCCTCCTCCCGCGGCGACTCAGCCCGCCCTGCCCGTCCAAGCCAGCTGCCAGCACGCCGGCTGCCCTCAGAGCTCTCCTGGCCACGGGGGCCCTGAGCCGGCCCCTGCCAGGGGAGGCCCAGGCCCACAGGCACCCACCTACCCTTTTCCTGAGCAGAGCGAGGCAGGAGCGGTGGATGCCAGAGCTCACGGAGGGCAGCGCTTTTATGCCGGGCCAGGGAGGGTGGGGAGGAGCTGGCCAAGCTGGGGGCACGTGGCTCGTGGCAGCCAAGCCCCTGCTTCATCCTTGCGTGGCGCGGGGATGTTGTGCTGACGCCGTTTCCTCACCAGCCCCAACCCGCTCTATCAGCCCCGGCAATTCCCCTGCTCGGACACTTGCCAGCTGCCACCTCATGGGCCAAACGAGCCGCGGCGTCTTTTCATTATCTCGGGGTGTAAGAGGGCACGCAGCGTGACACAGGCTGACTGCCAGCGCCCTGCGTGCCATAGCTCTTCCCCAAGGGCCTGGTCTCGGGGCGGCCCCACGGCTCCTTGGCTGAGCCACAGGGAAGACCAGGGTGGTGGTGCTGGCCAAGAAGGCGGCCTCGCAAAGGCCTCCCGCATACCAGTGACCGCATGACGTGCGCTGTGTGGCTCTAATCTACAGAGGTGCGAGGTTACGAAATGGCAAATCAAAGGTGCTTCTCTGTGGCACTGCCTGCTCAGCACGATGCATCACTCGCCAGCCCAGGGGAGCCGGCCTCCATCTGCCTGCAGGCGTTGGCCATCGGCCTCTGCCCATCTCCGGGAAGAGAGATCCCTCATGCCCGTCCCTGAGGCGCATGGTGTGAGGATCACAGATCCCCACGCGGGCCCACGCGGACCACGCTCGTGCCAGGCGTGACCCAAACGCTCCAGCCCCTCTCAGGTGTCCCGGGAGCCCCATTGCTGGGGGCCGGTGCTGGGCAGGGGCTGCCGTGGGCGTGCTGGGAGCTGGCTGTCAGGTCTGAAGGACCTTCTGCAGCAGCCCCTGCCTGTCAGATACCTGCTGCCGTTCAGCCCCTGAAGCACAAAGGGCAGGAAAGCCTCTGAGGCGGCGTGAGCTGCTCTGGCGAGGGGATGCTGACTCAGGGAGCGGCAGGAGCAGGACAGCCCCGTTGTCATCGGCAGGAGGGAGTGCCGCGCCTTCAGATTGGCCCAGGGGGTGCTGAGCAATGGCGGGGATGGTATAAAAGCTCTGCCTCTGCCACGCTCTCCCATCCACTGCTCTGGCCACCTACTCCTCGGGAAACAGGGTAAGGCTGTGAGCGCTTCTCCTCGTGGCTCCCTGTGCCACCTTCTCCACCTCAACCATTTCCCTCTGCTCTTCTCTTGCAATCTCTGCAGAGCACCGTCCGATCCCACACAAAGATGTCTTGCTACGACCTGTGCCCACCGAAAACCGGCGTCGCCGTCCCCCAGCCCATCGCCGAGAGCTGCAACGAGCTGTGCGCCCGGCAGTGCCCCGACTCGTCGGCCTTCATCCAGCCGCCCCCCGTCGTGGTCACCTTCCCCGGCCCCATCCTCAGCTCCTTCCCCCAGCAAGCCGTGGTGGGCTCCTCCGGAGCACCCGCCTTTGGGGGCTCCCTGGGGCTGGGGGGCCTCTACGGCGCTGGGGCCACGCTGGGCTCGGGGGGCCTCTGCACCTTTGGCAGAGCCTACGCTTCTCCCGCCTGCAGCCCTTGCGCGCTGCCCCGCTACAGCAAGAAGCTCTGGGACACCTGTGGGCCCTGCTAGACCCAGCCCAGCCCCAGGCGCTGGCCCCAGCCCAAACGCCAACACCACCCCCCGTGCAGGGCTGAGCCGGCGGGCACGAGGCACTCAGCGCTGCTGAGCAGCCCCAGCCCCAGCCAGGGCCTGGGCAGCTGCCAGTGCCGCACACCCTCGCCCCTTCCCTGCCCTCTTCTCCTGCCCTCTGCTCTCCTCCCCTCCCTTCTCCTCCCGGCTCTCGCACGGGGCACCACCTCCACCCGAAAGGCTCTGCCGGGCTGCACGGCCAAGCCCTGGGGATCTGCAGTGCTGCACCAAGGGGGCATCCGGAGCGACAAGCCATGCTGTAGGAAAAATCCCTCTGCCTCCCCCAGCACATGGCAACCAGACGATCTGGACTCTTGCCCACCGTGTCTCTGAGAGTCTCTCCTGCCCCTCTTGGGAACAATAAAACTTTCCTGCATCCAAGTCGTGTCTCCCTCCCTCCTTGTCACAGGTTGGGTTGGTGCTGTGGTCACGTGTCTGGTGTGTCGTGCCTGGTGTGGAGTTGGTTTTGGGAGAGGGAGGATGGAGGTAGCAGGCAGGGTAAGGAAAACCTTTTGGTGTGGCTTGCAGAACCTGGGGAAAATGGCAGAGGGCAGAGAGCATGACAGTTGCTGGCAGTGCTCTTTTGTCTGGTTTCATATCTCAGGCATCTAAACTAGCTCCACCATTTCCCACTGCTCCTTTGGTTCTGTGTGGTACCTTGGATTGTGGAGTCCCTTCAGCTGTCTCTCGGACCCCAAGGCCCCTCTTGTTATGGTTTTTCAACCTTCTCCATGCTCACCAGGATGTACTGCAGCCCATACTCCTCACACCAGTACAACAGGTTCCTCTTTAACAAGTCTGTGACATGCTAAATGTTACAGGATCATCCGTGGTTAATCTACATAAAGTGCTAATCTCCTTTTTCTTTGGATTAATGATCTACATTCCTCCTATCTTGCTTCTCATTTTACGTTGTTTGATGATATTAGTCATGGAATAATTTATGTTTGGATTTTAAATTCTGTCAATTTTGTTTTCTAACTTTAATTTTTATTAACATTCTTTTGCATAATACAATCAGATTTCTGCCTTCCCCACACTTTTTATTTGTAGCTTTGTTAACAGTCTTATCGATTTTGAAGTTCAGCATTTGGTATCATATTTCCATCCCTATCACCACAGACAAAAGCAGTTCATAAACACCAAAGGTATCCCACTCTTATCTTTCATGGGACTGTCCCCCTATACCCTTGCCTACTGTTAGTTTATGGTAAGAAGAACATTCAGAGCTAAGAAAAAACCCCACATTTTCCTCAACATTTAATTGAGCTCTTGTGCCAAGGAAAACATTCTGTGATCTCATCTGAATTCATTGCTGAATTCACACTCTAAATACCATCAAGTGGTCTATGAACGACGGCTCAGGAAACCACCCCTTCAAATGAAAACGTACAAAACATGTCAGTGAGTGCTATGAATGAATTTCAAATACCATGAAGTATTTCCTGCTCAGGAAAAGAACTCCTCCTCATCACTGATAAATTTTCATTTTCCTCTAATAAGGTATTCTAAGTTTTTTAATTTAGTTGTAGAATTAAACAGAAAACAAATCTGTGCATGAAATGTGTTTCAAAATAATGGCTTCTGCAGAGTATTGAATGAAGTCCTGCAAAAAAAGAAAAAAAAAAAAAAACAACAACAAAAAAAACCCAGACACACTTAAGAACTGCATGAGGGGCTGAAACAAAGTTCATTTTTTGTCATGACACTTACATTGTTGAGAGAGTACAGGCTCTTCTTCCCTGCAAAAGAGTGAATATTTCTCCAAGAGGAGACTAAAGGACAAATGAAAACCAGAGAGGCTCTTGTGCAACACCACGGGGTTTTAATGTGAAAGAGAAGCAGAGCAGCCAGTTCCAGAAGAATGAAGGCAATACAAGGGGAAACGCGTGTTGGAGGTGTCCCACTCAGGTACCAGTGCCCTGCTCAGGACCCAGGGGCCAGCTGAGGTGATGGAGGGATGCAGGGGATGCCGAGGCCGAGCCACGAAGCCAGGGCACGTGGTGGCACAGGGTAGCAGGCTGCTGGGCATGCAAAGCCTCCTCCTGTCCCCTTGCCAGGGCAGCTGATGCGTGCTGCTGGTCCCCAGGGTTCTTGCTCCATGTCTTCATGCCGTGGTCCTTGTTTCAGGGCTGTTGCTGGTTCTGGGCACCATCCTGGGGGGTTTAGAAAGCCCCGCAGCTCCCGCGGTGGGACCTGCCCCACCTCCAGGTGCCAGGGAGGTAGTAGCCCGTGCCACAGGAGGAGAAGCCAGAGCTGTAGGATCTCCCACAATTGCCAAAGCCACTGGAGCCGCCTTGGCCCCCATAGCCCAGGGAGCCCCCGTAGCCCATGTCAGCTCCATAACCTAGGGCACGGCCATACGCGAGTGAGCCCCCAGAGCCTCCAGAGCCTCTCAAGCCCAGGGAGCCCCCGTAGCCCAGGGAGCCCCCGTAGCCCCCAGAACCAAAGGAGCTCCCATAGCCCCGGAAACCCCTATAACCAGAGGAGTCCCCCAAGCCCAGGGAGCTCCCATAGCCCCCCACACCAAAGGAGCCCCCAGAACTCTGCAACCTCCCATAGCCCAAGGAGCCCCCATAGCCCCCCAAGCCAAAGGAGCCCCCTGAGCCCTGGGAGCTTCGGGAACTGAAGGAACTCCCCAGCCAGGCTGGGCCTGATGATCCCACAACGCTCTCCTGAGGAAAAGAGCTGAGTATGGGGCCCGGGATTGTCACCACAGCCGGCGGGGGGAAGATCACTGCTCTGGAGTCAGGGCATTGCTGCACACACGGCTCATTGTAGCTCTCGGCAATCGGCTGAGGGCAGGTCACCTCGCGGGGTCTGCAGGACTCGCTGTAGCAGGACATCCTTCTTGTGATGGCTGCAAGTCTGCAATGCACGCCAGTAAGCAGGTTTTGTATGCAGAAATTTTCACCTGAATCTAGATGCCTTTGCTTGCTCAAAGTCAGTGGAAATTGTGACAGCCAAGAGTTTATTACTTTGCAAAATATATCTATAGCTGGTCACATAAATCACGTACTAGATTCTGTTTGCTGTCAAGATGCCCTAGAAGTCATGCATAGATGCAGACATCTAGTGTCATTTATGGTGAAGCCCACCCTCTTGCTTGGTGGATCCTACTGCTCTTGCTTGTAGCATGATAAGTCTATTTTATTGAGACCAGCTGAAACAGTCTGAAGTTTGATAATGTATTCAGAGCAAGTTAAGAAAAGAAGTTTCAGATAAAACCAGCTTTTTTTATAGATTCATATTGCTTCCCCAGTAGCAGTCAACTTCCAAACAGAAATATTTACCCATATGGGGCAAATACTACCACAAGGTGGTAGATACTATGATCATTCTGGTATTTTTAAATTTTATAATGCATGTAGATCCTGGAGTAGAACTAAAATCCCTAGGAAATCATTATTAAAAGTGGCATAGTAAAACTTCCCATTTTGTTCTAAGGATAGCACCTTCTGACACTCAGAGTTCTCTAACCCACCATTCCATAGCATCATGTAGAATTTAGCATCAACAGAAAAAAGCTTGAGAAGGCTGTAGATTGAGCCAAATTGGATTTACCTTGTTCACCAAGGAGAATAGGCCAGGAGACACAGATAGAGAGGCTTGGAGTGGAGACAGCTTTTATACCTTTCTCAAACTGCTTACAGATATGAAACACCCTTGGGTGCCTCAGGCCCTACATAATAACAAAACACTGTTAACACTGAGGGATTTAGTTTTGCTTGCTTGGCACTGCCACTCCCCACCTTCAAAAACAGGTGTGATACAATGTCAATACCAACCTGTGGGCATTGGTGTGGTGAATGAAGAGATCTTTCAGACGTCTAATAGCCAGCACCAATATTGGGACATCTGCTATTCTTAGGGTAGATGAAAAAGGATGAATTAAATTTATCTGTCTTTTAAGAATAGTGCCATTTAAGTGAATACTATGAAAATACATGCAAACTGGATAAAAAGAGGGAGAGAGTTAATAGGAAGAGGGAGAATTTCAGATATCTACATCTCATTTAGAAACATGGGGTTTGGGGTTTTTAACATCAGTATTTGCGGATCAAATATCATTAATTACTCATGAATTATAAAGTGGATTGCATTCTCATTTTTACTGCTGTCTTTGGGATGTCATTGAGGCAGTGACAATTCAGAGATACTACAGATCCTCCTAGGAATGATAAGACACTTTACAAACACCCACTAAAAAGTCATATTTGATGTGTTGTACCACTGATATACATAAACACTCATCTATCAGCACACAAATCTTGTGCAAGAGCATCAATTTAGATATGCATGAACGAAGTGCTCTGTATCATTAGGTACAGCTTCATGTATGAGAGAGGTTAGAGGAGAGAGCAAGTGATTTGGAGAGTGTAAGAGTAGAGATTTTAGGACATTAATTTGAGACCCCTTATTTATCAGAACATGGACAGATATCCAGTTAAGCCTAAAAATTCAGATAATTTGTAATGGGACTCTTCCCCCCACCCCCACCAGAATAAAGGCAATAGACATTTCAGATATATGGGCAAAATACTGGTTCATAAATGGAGATGAAGCTACTATCTATAGTCCATAGCATAGACATGTCCTAATCTCCCCAAACATATTAATACTTAGTATAATAAAGAACTTGATATCATGAATGAAAATCAAATCATTGCAGGCATTGTAGTTATAAATCACAGTCTGGTTAAGGAATCAAAAGGAGTGACATTGGTTGACATATTTTCAAATTACGATGTTTCATAACAAGGGAGCTTCTAAATCCTGCCCTTCTTCATTTAATATGATAATAACAGAAATTGCAAGCACTAAGTATTAACGAGTATTTGTGAAGCAGCTTAAAGTCATTATCTTCCAGGTGCCTCTTATTATTATCAGCAAATCCTGATGACACTTCAAAGGCACACCTATCTTACAATTTAGAGGTAGTTTATAGCCTATATTTTGTAATATTATAAAATTAGAAAACAACAGATCTGCAAATAACTGCATGATGCCATAGACTTATCCCATTAAAATATATCTTTTTAAATACTATTTTATTAATATCCCATTTTTTCTTAAGTGGTCAGTACTTTGGCAGTGGGGAAAGAAAATCAGCGTTGTTTTTCAATGTATTTTAAGTGAGCTTATAGAAGTAGAGATTTCAAATTAAATTTTGAAATGGTTGGTATTAGCTTTATACAGAGATCCTGTCAACAGTTCTGGCTATATCAATAAGGCCTTTTCTGCCTCTTTGGAGGTGTCACCTGGTTCAGTAATTCCTTTGTTAATCTAGTGTCACCTGAACTGTCTCAGAAGACTTGAGTGAAGGATGTTGGGAAAGGGTTCAGTGGACCGATGCTAACTCCACTTAGGTTGTAGTTAATATTTTTAGTGATGATGGGACTGTATCATTCCCCTATATCATTTCACAGATGCAGTACATCAGACACTGATCACTCTGCCTGGGTTAGTTATAGGAAAAATGAAATGCTTAGAGCACAAGCTAAAAACTTCACCAGGGTTTACTGCTTTCATGCTGCTATTAGCAATATCGATATCCCATCAGGATCAAGCCTGCATCATGACAGCTCTTTGCTCTGCTGTATAGCAACACTTATAGATCCCTGGCCAACTGTAAGGAGAACTCATGTCCTCTCAAAGCCAAACTTCTAGTTCATGTTTGACCTCATTCATGCATATGGCACCAAAAAGGGCTCCACACAATGGAAGTATTACGTTGAACATTTAAATTGGACTAATGTGACACACAACTCTTGTTCTGGTTTTTAGTCAATGATTATATGGCAACCCTTCATCTGCAAATTGCCCAAATTCCCTAAAATGACAGTCACAGATAACTGATTGCCATCAGCAGTTGTATCACACCCACACTAACATTTGGGAGGGTCAGTGCTGAGGTGGCAAAATTAAAGCTCCCACTATTGCATTTGTTTTGTAACAAATTATGACCAAAGGCACAAAGGGTGGCTTAAATAAGCATATAAAAGCTCGTATCACCCGCAGTCCTCATATCCACTTCCACCGTCTCAATCTCCACAGTGAACAAGGTAAGTGTGATTTCACCCATTCTTCCTACTACTATTAGCATTGACCTTAACATTGCTTATCATCGAGATGACCCCTGCTTGTGTTTTTACAGACTTATATGCTTTGTCTCCTTCTGAAAATGTGTCTTTGTCCAGATGCAGCATTAGGGGTCACTGCATGAGGACAGGAAGTAGATCTCCAAGCTATAGAAATACCTGGGGTGATTTACACCTCAAAGTCTGAATTAATACATATAGTCAGAGCCTTTCTTCTTAATCCAAACTACTACTGACAGATCTTTCTAAATTATCCAGTACTGAATTTCTGTTTCACGTCAAAGTATTTACAAAGGTGATCAAGAAGAGATGAAAGAAAGGATAAAGGTTGAGAGCTGATACAACAATGAGTTTTATTTATTAACATGGATAAATTTATATGTTTCCCTGTTAACTTCTGATATTTCAGAAACAGAGTTATTGCTTAACAAACTTGGTTCATCTCCTCCCAGACAAGCTTTGGTATTTGTTCATTTACCTTAAAGCTCCTTACTGGCGTGCATTGCAGACTCGCAGCCATCACAAGAAGGATGTCCTGCTACAGCGAGTCCTGCAGACCCCGCGAGGTGACCTGCCCTCAGCCGATTGCCGAGAGCTACAATGAGCCGTGTGTGCAGCAATGCCCTGACTCCAGAGCAGTGATCTTCCCCCCGCCGGCTGTGGTGACAATCCCGGGCCCCATACTCAGCTCTTTTCCTCAGGAGAGCGTTGTGGGATCATCAGGCCCAGCCTGGCTGGGGAGTTCCTTCAGTTCCCGAAGCTCCCAGGGCTCAGGGGGCTCCTTTGGCTTGGGGGGCTATGGGGGCTCCTTGGGCTATGGGAGGTTGCAGAGTTCTGGGGGCTCCTTTGGTGTGGGGGGCTATGGGAGCTCCCTGGGCTTGGGGGACTCCTCTGGTTATAGGGGTTTCCGGGGCTATGGGAGCTCCTTTGGTTCTGGGGGCTACGGGGGCTCCCTGGGCTACGGGGGCTCCCTGGGCTTGAGAGGCTCTGGAGGCTCTGGGGGCTCACTCGCGTATGGCCGTGCCCTAGGTTATGGAGCTGACATGGGCTACGGGGGCTCCCTGGGCTATGGGGGCCAAGGCGGCTCCAGTGGCTTTGGCAATTGTGGGAGATCCTACAGCTCTGGCTTCTCCTCCTGTGGCACGGGCTACTACCTCCCTGGCACCTGGAGGTGGGGCAGGTCCCACCGCGGGAGCTGCGGGGCTTTCTAAACCCCCCAGGATGGTGCCCAGAACCAGCAACAGCCCTGAAACAAGGACCACGGCATGAAGACATGGAGCAAGAACCCTGGGGACCAGCAGCACGCATCAGCTGCCCTGGCAAGGGGACAGGAGGAGGCCTTGCATGCCCAGCAGCCTGCTACCCTGTGCCACCACGTGCCCTGGCTTCGTGGCTCGGCCTCGGCATCCCCTGCATCCCTCCATCACCTCAGCTGGCCCCTGGGTCCTGAGCAGGGCACTGGTACCTGAGTGGGACACCTCCAACACGCATTTCCCCTTGTATTGCCTTCATTCTTCTGGAACTGGCTGCCTCTGCTTCTCTTTCGCATTTAAAACCCCGTGGTGTTGCACAAGAGCCTCTCTGGTTTTCATTTGCCCTTTAGTCTCCTCTTGGAGCAAAGCTCCCCGGTGTTCTTAGTTAAGTTATCAAAGAATCTGTCCTGCTCAATCTCTCTTTAAAATGTGGAATGAAAGTTTAATTGGGATCCTTCAGGCATCAACAACATTGTGTTAATAAATGTTTATTTAGCAATTTCACAGTCATTATCTTCCCCAAGGTTCAGAACAGGCAGGGTAATTGTTATTGCTGTGAGGATTTCTGGTGACACACCAAAGGCCCCCCAATCACCATATAATTTAGCAACCAATTAAGACATAATTGCAGTATTCCTAAACTAACAAGGCAACAAAGGAAGAATCATACATAAATTTTCTTTAATTTGATTTAAAAATTTTCTTCCTGGTATTTACTGCCATTCTTTGTTAATGGCAAAATCTTCTTCAAAATCTAAAAAGTGAATATGAAAATAATACCAGAGATTGCAGGGATTTTATTGAGCTTCAAGGTATTGGAATACCAAGCAATGAAATTATATATTGCCTGTAAGACAACATTAGCTTTCCCATCCTCTTTCATGCCATGGATTGTTAGCCAGGAATTACTATTTCATATTGCACGTAAAGAAGTCTAAGGGGAAATACATCCTATCAAAAAAAAGGGTATTACTCATTGCTTACATTTATCTATGATTACCTCCTTATTAATTGGTATGGTGTGATTTAAACGAAGTTCTGTCTGGTACTGACAATTTATGCACAGGCAAATTTCCCCCAGAGAAGGCTCCAAAGAGAAAGAGAGGAAGAACATTGCAAGACACATATTATGATGCACCATAAATTTAATGAGCAAAAAGTAGAATTTTAAAAAATGTACAGCGTAACAAAGCAGTAGAGATGAACATGGATAAAACTAATCATCCATTTCGAAGGCAATGCTTTACAGCTGGACACCCAGCTCCTACATGCAACAATACAAGTTACATTTTTCACCTCATTGATAACAGAGAAAGGCATTAAATCAGAAATGCCAAGCTCCTGCAGTCCCATTAGCTTAGGGAAAAGCTGAGGGTGGTCAGCAAGCATATGGCCATGGTCATGAATTCAGTCCTGCATCCGGATCACGCTTTTAGGCTTCTAGTTGTTCTTTTGTGGTTCTTCCCCAAGGCTCTATCATGGCCCACACCGGTTGTAACGACGGTAGGACCTCCCATAAAGGCCACCCAGACCTGAATATCCAAGACTCCCAAGTCCCAAGGAGCTTCCAGAAGAGATAGGGACCCCCCCAGCATTGAGAGCATCCCCTACAGCTGCGGATGCTGAGGATCCCACTGTGGTATTTTGTGGGAAGGAGCTGAGGATGGGTCCAGGCAGGGTCACCACCACGGGAGAGGGCTGGATCACGTATGTGGAATCCTGGCACTGCCTGACACAGGGCTCGTTGCAGCTGTTGGCAAGCGGGGTTGGGCCACAGGTGGTGGGAGGACACAGGTCGTAGCAAGACATGACTGCGAGATGGAACTAAGTCTGAAACGCAGAGAAGGAAGTAAATACAAGAAAGGAGTTGTAATTATACTCATGTTCTTAAGCTAATAAGATAATGGAGAGTGCAAGAAACCAACTAGAGATTGTGTGGAGAATGGAATAATGTGTTAGGCTTAGGTTGAAAGGAGAGTTCAGTGAAACCCAAACTCTTTTATGCTACAGAAGACAGCTCAAGGAGTAGCTCTACCTGGTCATTGGTTGATGAGCTCTTTGATAGCTCATTTCCCACAACACTCCTCCAGGAGTGCGATAGGTGGGACAAGCCTTATGATCTTCTGTATGATACAGCTAGGAGAAACTTCACCCCCACAACAGAGGGAAGAAGAAAAAAATTCCTCGGCAAGTAGAAGATGCTGAGCATAATATGATAATGTGACACTCACCTTTGGAAGGGTGCATTTATCCTCCCCACAGATGGGCTTGTCTCAAACAGCAAAAGAACAAATATTCTGCCTACTTATTTAATCATCCCTTTTTCTGTGCGCTAATTTCCTCTTACGTCAGCCTTACAGAGAAAGCAACTTTGTCTTTTTCTGAAGGGGGGTGAAATAGCAGTTGACAGTGTCCAAAATCATTCAGTAAGCAAATAGAACAGGCAGAAGCTTTACTACTGATATTTCAGTTACAGGTTACTGAGGTGCTGAAATGGAGACCTAGTGCCAAAGTATTCAGAGCATTTTAGGAGATGGTTCAAATATTTCTGGTCCCAAAGTTCTTAGGAGCAGAGGATTATTTTCATGGTACCTGGTGCAAGAAATGATATACTTTTGATAATGTTCATCATGTTTTGAAAACTTGAGCCCACTTATTTATTTATGTACAGGAAAAGATCCAAGAAAGCCAAAATCTCTGTCCAGATTCTCCACATCCACTTCTAGTTGCTGAGCAATTCACATGCAGAAATTTAAACATCTTGGAACTGAATGATCCGGTGACACAAATGAAAAAATTAGTCTGAAGTCCTGTGTCCAGCAATTGTCACCCTTCAAAGAACAACTACCCTTTTTTAGAGAAAGAGCTAATTGCAAGTCCCCTTCACACACTGATAAAGAGTATGAAGCTTAGACTGCTGTAGACAAGACAGTGTAAAAATAAAATACGAAGAAGGCAACAAAATTCAGGACATTGAAAGATAGCAAGCAGATTCAGACTTACCCTTTTCACCAAGGAGAATAAAGCAGAAGTGGATGGCAGCAACTCTCACTGTGCTGGCTTTTATACTGTGTCCTAGAGTGCCTGAGGACCTGAGACATACTTTGTGAGTGTAGCTATTTACCAGCCAATTGCTAAAGACTTCTTGTATGCAAAATATTCCCAGCTGATGATTTATTTTTTCCCCACTGTTTGTATTTATTACCTTGATTTAATTTCCTCACCATAATGTATGCATTCCACTATAGAGGTTTCTTTTAACTTAAAATCTTATGAGCCCAGTTAATTCCTGGTCAGCTTAACTGATTCATCTGGGTTACTAAAGAAATTATTTTGCATCCTAAGGGCAATATATGCAATTTACGTCATTTGACAGAGATTAAGACATATATTAGGAAAGACGATGTGAACTCCCCAGTGAAATCCCCCTTCTGTCTTCATGAAAAGCATAAATTTTTGACACTTCTCACTCTGAAAAGGCCAGAAGTTACTATTTCTAACTGAATTGAACAGTAGGTTTGCTGAATTCCTCTCAAACAACCAGACAGCTGCACCAATTCAGAAAATAAAATTATTACAGAAAGCACTTAGCAGAGCTGATTACACTTTACCAGTCTCAAAGGTACTTATCAGGAAATAGATTATTTGAGAGAACATACTATTTTACTTTCTTGACTCAGGAGACAGGATTAAAGAGTATCAGCAGTCTGATCTATTCATTTAATATTAAACTACTACACTTCCATGAAGGAATTTGAGACACAACTCTTCAATTTGGGAACTGTCAAAGTCCTTAATCTAAGGAGTCTGCAGTTCTAGCTTTCTTCTTACATCAAACTGCAGGAAAACAATTCAGGTCAGATTGAGGATGCATGTGAATTTTAGGCTAGTCAGAGACACTGACACTCAAAGTCTTGCACAAGCTTAGCTATGGGATCATTAAAGACGCCAAAGAGTTTTACATTTGCCATTAAATTATTAGTTTCCCTTACTGTGTCTTGCACTATTATACAAAATTATACTCCAAATTAATGGTAGCTACTTTCCGAAGTTTATAATATTCTTGTTCTTTTTTTCCTCTTTTGAAAGCAAATAATGTTGTCTTCATTTTCATGGTCTTAAAGAACATTGCAATGCACAACAATTCAATTTCTTTTTCAAAGACAATTTCTAGATTAAAAAGTAATTGCATAAAATGCATAAGCAGACTTCAGGGCAGGGATCAGTATTCTAATCTCTCCTTTCTTAATGTTTAAATCACTTAGCTAGAGACATGCAAATTCTCTCTGAACTGTGAGTATCTTCATGAAGATCTCCTGGGAAATAAATGCTGACTGTACACTTCTTAAGAACAAAATTCTTCAATGTTCACAACATATTTTCTTCAACAGCTCAGACACGCAAATAGTGCATTATCAGAAAATGTGAAGGTATGCAACACTGAACGTGATCAGCATTTAAAACTTGTGACCAGGATTACTAATGAATTTCACAAACTTCCTCACATTATATGGTGTCACCAGCTGGAGTCCTTCCATTTTTTACTTAAAATACAAATAAGTATTTGCACAAATTCACATATTAAAACCTACATTCCATTTATCAGTTGCTCGAATTGATGAACCCCATTAGTGACATTATTGACTGAAGCTCTTCTAGCCCTTGAGATTTACCAGTCTTTCCTCAATGCTCTTACCAATGCATGCACACAGACATATTACTGTGTATCAAAATGTTAAAAAACATATTCCTTTATCGCAATAACTATAAATTGACCATAAGAGAAGCATGTCATTTTGAAAACAAACTCATCAAAAGGTACAATGCTGATGAAGAATCACAAGTCCTCTCCTGAAGGTGGCCATATGTCAAATTAGCCTGGCTGGCTCAATCTTCTCATCCCAGGATCTGAAAGCTTTGGGGTATTGTTCTTTGGAATATTACAGAGAGTAGTGATCCTAAATCTCACAGTCACTTATCAGGGATGAAAATGCACACTCAGGACTTAAATTAGAAGCCCTTGATGTGACAGCAGGTGGTAATCCCATGGGCCAGTGTGACCGAAATGCTAAAGAGCAGACAAATTTCCTAACCAAATCGAATTTTGACTCATCCACATTTTGGGAAGGTGGAGTCGGCATAATGGAGCCAGTGTATGCAAACCAAAAAGATGAAAGAGTCACCATGGATTGTGGTTTTCATCCAATGCCAGGATAAGTCCAGGCAATAAACATAAAGAGTAAACAAAACAATTTCACTAGTGGGAACCCAGCCATATGCAAAAAATAAATTAATAAATTACACATGAACTAGTTAGTAAATGTGCAAGAATGTCTCAGATCCTCCAGGCTGCCTGAGAAAGCTATAAAAGCTCTTGCTCGTCAGAGCTTTCCTGCCTCATCCCTTATCCCTGTATGCACAGCAGGCAATACATTTCTGGTTTCAGCTTTACAAAATCTGGTATTGAAATATATTTTAACTGACAGCAGCAGCAAATACTTACCTCACAAATACAGCTCACATTATTCTTTTTTCTATGGCACCAACTTGTTTCAGCTATTCAGTGATAGATACTAACAGATGCAAGTTTATAATTCAAGAAAGAGAAGGTACAGACATTTCTTTTGATCAGAGCATGTGTACGCTATCATGCAGTGTTTTGTATGCTGCTGTTTCATTGTCTAGTACTATGCATTATTGCTCACATGCTGCATGATTATGTAGACCCCAGTGTAACATGGTATGACATTTCCAAAGCAAACACAATAACAACTTGAAAGGCAACTCCTGAACTTGTCTTGCCTATAAAATGTTCTCTGTACCATGATAATCTAGCTCATATTCTGCAGCAGTGAATAAAACACTTTCTGATTAATTACAAAACCAAACAAAGAAAGCTTTTACTTTGGGACTGTGCTATACTTGTGGCTATGATAAGTTTTAACCCACAGACAGCAGTTTGGGACAGGAATTAAGGGGGAAAATGATGCCTGAGGATTGTTTTTGCTTTTTGTTTTGAAGACACGAGATGTATACCAGACCTTTCTGCTACAGTTTCTGAATACTTGAAGGAAAGACCCCAACTGGAGTGTGTACATACACAGGGGCTACCTCTGCAGAGATTTGGTACAGTTGGTTAGAAGAAAGCTTAAAAGAGAATTGCAGGAGGGGATTGCAAGAGTAGGAAAAATATACTTTGTCATGAGAAATGTCATTGTTTGTTCACCTGAATATGTTAAAGACACCTTCACTGCAGATCCTCAGCCATAACTTTCCAGCCATAACTTTCCAGCCATATCAATACTATGAAATCATCACTTCTCTGCTGTGTTAGATACACAGGTTGACCTCCATAAGAGAAAGCTATTTTGCAACAACTGCAAATGAATGATGACTTCTTTGGAATGCATCCTCTTTGATCAAGCAATAGCTCCAGTTGAGATGGCAAAAATATATTACACATTTAATTCAGACCA